TGTTATGTAGAGGTGCATTTGTACATTGAAGCATTAGTTCCCATAGGAACTAATGCAAAGCTGGTTAATACGTACTCTACCACTAGGGGGAGAATTTTTTTTAACCTAAGATGACCTAAGGTTAAAAAAAGAGCAGGAAAGGTTTTTTTTTCCCTGTTCTTATCTTGGATTTCTGTTCTCATGTAGAAGCAAAATTTAGCAAATGGAGCTGTTCTTAAGTTGGATTGTTCTTAAGTAGGGACGTTCTTAAGTAGAGACCCCACTGTATTTAACTGGAGGTAGCAGAAAAGAGCAAGCCAATCATTTGGAGGATTTGGTTCTCACCTGTGTGCCTTCAGACTGTACAGGAACTTGGGTGGGTTGTGCAAGTCTGGATTCAGTATGAACTGGAAATACAGTATTACCCATAATGTTAGGTATTTGAATTACTGCTTTTCCATATCCTTAATAAAAGTTAATATATTTCTACTGCCTCCTATAGCATCCTACCAAAAAAAAAACAAAAAACTAACAACTTGTATGATCAATCTCTTACTATGTCAGATTTTTCATAAAATAGGAAACATTTGCTCTCTGAACTAGATTTACAAGATTCAGGCACTACAATTACAAAGTTGAGAGATTATCCTGAAAGCCCACCTAAAAATCTACAAGTGCTCACATCTTAAAAGCCCACCTGAAAAATCAATTATTTTCATAAAACTATTTAACTGATAACTCCTTGATTAGAACTCTAACTCTTGTTAGAAAATCTGTCCAAAGATCTGTATCACTAACCTGGAGGGCAAACCATTTGTGGTATGTCCAAGTTTTGTGCTGGATTCATCGGCTGCGCTGAAACAATAGCAGGATCAAGTGCCTGGTTCTCAAATTCCAGCATGGAGTCCTAGATAATTAAGAAAAAAAAATCAAGAATATTTCAACAGAATGAAAATCCCTTATGATAATTCAGCAGTCAGTGAGGGCAGAATTCTTTGATTCAGATCAATAAAATAAAAAGTTGCCAACATCATCAAGTGGACTGTTGTGGATTTTATTTGTTTGTTCGTGTTAGTTTACTATTATTTACAAAGGCATTTAATCATTGACTTGCACAAGAAATTGCATACCTGCATGAAATTGTAAGGGCCTTGCATCTGTGCCATAAGGTCCTGTACTCGTTGTCTCCTAACAAGAGGATCAGCCTGAGCCACTACATTAAGCGTATGGGCATCTGGAACTGGAGGAGATGTAGTCTGCGGTTGTTGCTGGAGTGAATTTACCACCTACAGCAGAAATAGTCAGTAGTTAAGTCTTTCTATTACAGTTTTCAGTTAATGGCCCAAGTATTATGATCTCATCAGCTAAACTAACTTCAACTGTTCTAAAAAAATACACATTTCCCACAAGATCAAGCACTACAGTTTGTAACACTTTACACAGCAAACTTTACACAATTAGAACTTGGAGCATTCTTTCTTATAAAAAGTTTTTTCATATCTGCAAAGCATGGGATTTGAAGTATCTAGACTGCTGAATGTAATAAAAGCTGAATATACCAAAATCTAGCAACTTGCTACTTTTTCAGATATCTGCTAAACACATATATTTGGAATAAATATGTGATAATTATCAAAATGGAATGTAACGTAGAGAAAGCAGAACTTCACTCTAAAGTACTGTTTGGATCTTTCAGCATTTCCACTGTCTATACAGATACATTCTTCCTTGATTATAATGCCAGAGGGATGGTGTCCCCACACATAATAATATAAAACAAGTAAGTTACAGACCTCAAGCAATTCTAGTAACAGAGCTGGCATTTCCTTGACCCAATTTCGCATAATATGCACATACAGACAACTACTTTCTTGCCATTTCTATTCATATTGGCATTCTCATTACATCCTATATTTCTGTAATGCCCCTTCAAGTAATGGGCACAATTGTGAACTACTGTACTAAATAAATGCAACTGTCACTGACTTTAACAGAAACAATCACACCCAGAGTTAGTTGTCATTATTAAAGGCTGGTCACAATCCAATGGTGTGCTTTTACTGCAGGAAGCAAGCAGTGGAGGAAAAGATAAGGGAGAAGTGGGAGAAAACAGTTTCCCAGTTATTCTGAATGCAGTACTTGAATACAGTCCTTTTACTAATCCACATGGATCTAATAAATTCCCTTTTTCATGAACTCAGGACTACTTATGTTTTAGGCAAATATGCTCAAATCTTAATCACAAAGTGGAAAACAGTATCTAAATAAATTCATGTGGTCCTCAACTTTTTATATATTCAAGATGTTCAAGTACACAGTATAATCCTAAATATTTAAGGAATACTAGTGCCATCAACTCTACAAAATAGAAAACGACTCAACAAACATGGTTATCCAAAATTATTGTCAAAGAAACAAGGGGGAAGAGAGGAAAGATGTTGTAGCTTTTTTCAAGTTTAACAATAAGTAATGAATGAGAGTGACATTTGTACTAAATCCTTTTGCCTAAATTTGAATGCGCCTTGCACAGAATCATATACAAACTAAATAAACAATGAAAAGAACACCACTGCATTCAGTAATAAACAATCCAAGCAACGGATCCTTGTGCATCTAAAAAATCTTAAGGACCCAACCTCAAGTCTGTTTATGAAATGGAACTATGTTGTAAAAATAACCAACAAATCATAGGTAGCTTTGAAATACACATGCCAAATGCTTGCATCTTTTAAAAGTACAGTATATGCGAATTCCACATGGAATTCTGCATTTTAGCAATATAATTGATAAACTAGATGAATAAAATACTATAACCCTACTCCAGAGAATCAGCTGGCAGAAATATTGTGTCTTACAAGGGCAGAGACAATAGATCAAATTATAATTCTAAAGTTGGTTTTTAGATGATTGACGAAGTTTTTTTGTGTTTAAGTACCCCAAGAAAGTCTTCAACATAATGCTGCTGAAGCAGAATTACAAATACTTCCTATTTTATTATCTACCTTACTTCCATATAAAGACCAAAAGGCTTCCAATAAGTATTTTATGATTAATGCCATGCAAAGATGTACAAGCATAAGTACATTCAACTAAGTGCTGCACCTAACATATAAAAAGACACTCCAGAATAGTGTCAAATATGGACAATGAAGTATAGATGCAATGACAACTAGCAGAAATTGGACAAGTGACCTGTGTGACCAGAAACATCTTCCAGTCACAAAAGCTGGCCTTGGATTAATAATATTTTCATCCTGCCATGCTGGTTTACTTTTTGGTTTACATGTAGAATTTCAAAGAACATTGTATAATGTTATGTTACCAACTGCAAGAAACAATGTCTAACTATCACTGAAAAGCTGATTTTTTTCAAACAGCCTAATTTTGCAATCTTAGACCTTTACATGTGTATTACAAAATATTTGCTTATTTCTCTCTACATGCTCATAAAGTAGAATATTATTTTAAAAAAATCATTTTCTTCATTAGGACTTATGAGATTCAGCTCAAGCCTGCTAAAAGAGCATTCTATTTAGATTGCAGTTGTATGAGTTATAAGGGAATGAAATGAGATTGCAACTTTACCTAAACATACAGAACACCTTACCTCAACAGTTTCAACTGTCCACTCATCTACCTGTTCCTTCTCACTACTGCTGAACTGAGTCTCTCCCATGAACTGTCTGTTAACATACTAAAATAAAAGTGAGAGAGTAAAACTGTAAGACAGCAGCATTCATTTTAAAAAGACGACTATAATCTTTCCACTGAATAGTACCTCTGTTGATTCAACTTCACCGGGTTCAGTGTATTCTTCCGTTGGCTCTGACTCTATGAGGAAAATACAGTAACTTTAGGTAAAGTTGTATTTAAAAATCTACTGAAATAAACAATTCAATATCTAAATTCCTGATGAAAACATTCAAGCAAAAGAGCCTGGAATAAGTCCACAACTTCTCTGCAGTTCCAAAAATATTTTATTTTTAGTAACAGATGTAAAATTCACAGTCACAAAGTCCAAGTGTTCTCTGAACTATTACAACAACTATTTAGCAGGTATCTGGTTTGGATGTTCAAAAGTAACATTCAAATTCCCAAGTCAAAATTCCAAGCACATTAAGATTTATCCATTAATGAAACCTGACAATAACAATGTCACCTAAATATATATCCACTACAAACTTTATTTGGTCTGTTGGCCTAAAGGTAAGCCAAGAAATTTAACAATTTAGCAAAGTTTCAAGTCTGTAATACAGACATAATCATTTAGTATGTAGTAATGTCTGTTAGACATTAAGAAAAACCAGATTAACACATTTTTGATGTTGCAATCCTCTGCATGTTAACATGGAAGTAACTCATACTGGACAAAGTTGGATGTACAGTCATGGCCAAAAAGATTGACACCCTTGCAATTCCGTCAGAAAATGCAACCCTTTTCTCTGAAAATTGTCACAGTTGCAAATGTTTTGGTACTCACATGTTCATTTCTTTGCATTGGATCAACATAAAAACACAGAGAACAACAGTCAAATCTGATGCAATCCCACACAGCAACCCTAAAATGCACTGGCCAAAATTATTGGCACCCTTAACTTAATATTTGGTCGCACCCCTTTGGAAAAAAATAACTGAAATCAATCACTTCCTGTAACCAGGAATGAGTTTCTTTCACCTCTCTATTGGAATTCTGGACCACTCTTCTTTTGGAAACTGCTCCAGGGCCTTCAGATTTGAAGGATGCCTTTTCCCAACTGCTGTTTTGAGATCTCTCCACAGATCTGGACTCATTACTGGCCATTTCAGAACTCTCCAGTGCTTTTTTAATAACAATGTCTGAGTGCTTTTTGAACTGTGTTTCGGGTCATTGTCCTGCTGGAAGATCCCGGACCACTGGTGGAGATGCAGCTTTCTGACACTGGCCACTATGTAGCACCCCAAAATTCTTGGGTAATCATCAGATTTCATGATACCGTTCACACAGTCAAGGCATCCAGTGCCAGAAGCAGCAAAGCAACCCCAAAACATCTTTGAACCTCCAGCATGTTTGACGATAGGGACTGTGTTCTTTTCTTTGAATGCCTCATTTCTTTTTCTGTAAACAGTGCCATGATGTCCTTTACCAAAAAGCTCTACTTTTGTCTCATCTGTCCACAGTACGTTCTCCCAGAACGATTGTGGTTTTGTCACATAAATTTTGGCTTACTCCAGACTTGCTTTTTTTTATGCCTTTGTGTCAGCAGTGGTGTCCTCCTGGGTCTCCCTTGATTCAGATGGTGATGGATAGTGCCAGCTGACACTGTTGTACCCTGTGTCTGCAGATCAGCTTGAATCTGTTTGGAAGTTAATCTGGGTTCTGTATCTATTCAGACATCCCTTTGTTGTAATTTTTCAGTAATTTTGCTCTTCCGTCCATATCCAGGAAGGTTAGCTACAATGCCATGGGCTGTAAAGTACTTGATGATATTGCAGTGGACACAGGAACATTAAGATCTCTGGAGATGGACTTGTAGCCTTGAAATTGTCAATGTTTTTACACAATTTTTTCTCCCCAATCCACAGTCAACTCTTTACACTTCATTCTTTTCTCCATGCTCAGTGTCACACACAACACAAAGGCTGAGTCAACTTTTCTCCATCTTAACTGGTTGCAAGTGTGAGTACTATACTGCCCACACCTCTTACTTGTGACGGTGTGTCTAAATACAAATTAAAGGACCGTCACACGCTTGAAAAGCAATTATTTCTTACAATTTAGACAGGGTACCAATAATTTTGGTCAGTGTATTTTTGGGTTGCTGTGTGGGATTGTATCAGATTTGACTTTTCTTCTCTGTGTTTTTATGTTGTTCCAATGCAAAGCAAAGAAATGAACATGTGAGTACCAAAACATTTGCAAGTGCAACACTCTTCTGAGAGAAGGGTTGCATTTTCTGACAGAATTGCAAGGGTGCCAATATTTTTGACCATGACTGTACTTCGCAATTAACATGCGCACAACTGAGCTGAGAATATATTTTCAGTTACCAGCTTCTACAACAGGATCTTCGACTGCTGGTGTTGGTGCTGCCTCCTCTTCTTCACACAATCCATTCTGATGGTTGTGAGTGCTATCAAAGTAATTTGTTTGAAGAATGCGTTCAATGAGCTCTCTTAGGGCTTTGTCTGTAAACAGTAAGAAACAAAAAACTATTTTACCTATGAAATGTTTTTGATTCTCCCTCACTTTTTCTTAATGTTTGCAACTTTTCTATTACTCTACCGTGTTTCCCCAAAAATAAGACAGGGTCTTACATTAATTTTTGCTTCAAAGAACACATTAGGGACTATTTTCAGGTGATAGTTTATTTTTTTTCATATACAACAATCTACATTTATTCAAATATAGTCACATCATCATCTTCTGGTTGCTTCACAATGGTGTAGGATGGGGTTTCACTTAACTCGGGTTTATTTTGGGGGTTGGGCTTACATTACGAACATCCTGAAAAATTAGGACTTATTTTCAGATTATGTCTTATTTTCAGGGAAACAGGGTACACTTAAATTCCTAAAATAAACCCATATTAACAATATATGTACAATTTACAATTGTGCCAAAAAATAAGTAATATTTGTTTGTAAATCCAAACTGCGGATTAATCTCATCATACCCACAGATATATGACATATGACTATAAGAAAACTCCAGCTGCATCACACCAAAGTATTATTCAGACCTTCATTCTAGTAAGCCCACAAGCACATCACTGCACCCTCCATTCATAATTCCCTGTACATACACACACAAACATAAAAGCAAGCTCTTAGGTCTTGGATACAGCACATAACCCATTTTGTGGCAATTACCGGTAATTCAACAGTTCAATTCATCATTCAGCTCTAGAGATCATATTAGATTCTAATAGTTTCTGCTTGCTATGACTGAAGGTATACACCTCTATGTTTCCTCTTACTAGCCTTTTTTACCAATCTAAAGAGCCCCAAATGTTGCAAACATCTCTCACAGGCAAACTCCTCCAGTCCTTTAATAATTTTGGTTCCCCTTTTTTGAAAACGGTACAGTATTCTCAAACTGTGAATAGTATTACATAAGCATACCACATATTTGTATATGGACGGTATAACAGTATTACTATAAATACTGTAATTAGAAACAGTATTTCTAATTACATTCAAATAAATAATGGAGGATGCAACACAGAAAGCAATTTGTCTAGAACCTACTGAAGCCTGAAGCTAGTCCTAGACTGATACCATAGCAATTCATCTCAAACATGCAATAAAGCAATACACAGGTAACCGTCTTATCCAAAAAACCCCAGAAGCTGGATCATGTGGGAAATTGAGAAACTAAGCTCAAGCATTAACAAGATAACTAACATCAGGAACACAGAGAAGATTCAAATTGGCCTAGCACTAAATGTCTGTAAATCTCAGAAGACTTCTTTGAAGCCAAACCTTATTAGTTATGCCCACTAGCATAACAAAATTGATGTAAATCTCAGCACCAAATGTCCCAAATGAGTAAGTTAGCACAGGCAAGAGCCAGTATCTATTCTTACTTCTCATTTGCAGCAATTTGCCAGGGATTTACATCAATTACATTATGCTATCATAAAAAACTGTATATAATTTTAGATACTGTTTGAAAAAGAGGAAAGGAACCATAAACATCATGCAAGACAAAAAGCAAAGAGTCATACACAGGAAAGGCACCAACCACATGATATAACACATTTGTAACACAGCTTGAACTTATAGCTTCTCAAGTTTTTATATAATACAGCACAGTATGTAAGCTCAGAAAATAACACGAAAAGTACAACAGAGAATGTCTGGAAGCTGGGGAACACCAATAGCAAACCATTCAGTCCAGAGTCAGCAACTGGTCAGGTGGGACTAATTATCTCTTTCTCTGTAAACCATACATTCATTGTAAAGAAGCAAATGTTCTATTCAGCCTGTGGGAAAGAGCCATCTATAAAGAGGATTTCCCAATGTGTGACATGCCAATCAGAGATTAGAGATACTGTTCAGCTACCTAGTGGAGTACCCTTTCTCCAAATAGTGGGGTCCCTTTTCTACAATGGTCTCTTCTGTTAAGGAACCCGTCCAGCATGTAATGCCCAATGAAAGTGGAAGGGTGGGATCATGCCTCACATATTTTCTGAAGACGAACATATGAGGAAAAAGATGCTAAGATGCCAGCTACCCTGGTAAAATGGGATGTAATCTATCTGGTTCTGATAAATGGGAAGACTCACAGGCTAAGTAAATGCAGGCTTTAATCTAAGGAGCTTTAATTCACCTTCAATGTTGCCTGTGAAGTTAGAAGAAAAGAAAGAAATCAGACCTGCTAAAAGAACCAGTTGTCTTGACAGATTATCTTTTGGGGGGGGGGAGTCTAATGAATATCTGGTTTATGCTATATTCTCTCCAGAGTGTGGAAAAGATGCTGCAAAGAAAAATACTGCATAGGAACTTGGAATGTAAGATCTATGAACCTTGGTAAGCTGGATGTGGTCAAACAGGAGATGGGCATTAGTGAACTAAAATGGACGGGAATGGGCGAATTCAGCTCAGATGATTATCATATCTACTATTGTGGGCAAGAATCCTGTAGAAGAAATTGAGTAGCCCTCATAGTCAATGAAAGAGTGAGAAAAGCTGTACTGGGATACAATTTTAAAAATGACAGAATGATTTCAATACGAATCCAAGGCAGACCTTTCACCATCACAGTAATCCAAGTTTATGCACCAACCTCTGATGCTGAAGAGGCTGAAATTGACCAATTCTATGAAGACTTACAAGACATTCTAGAACTGACACCAAAGAAATATGCTTTTCTCATTATAGGGGATTGGAATGCTAAAGTAGGGAGTCAAGAGATAAAAGGAACAACAGGGAAGTTTGGCCTTGGAGTTCAAAATGAAGCAGGGCAAAGGCTAATAAGAGTTCTGTCAAGAGAACAAGCAGGTCATCACAAACACTCTTTACCAACAACACAAGAGGCGACTCTACACATGGACATCACCAGATGGGCAATACCAAAATCAGATTGATTATATTCTCTGCAGCCAAAGATGGAGAAGCTCTACACAGTCAGCAAAAACAAGACCTGGAGCTGGCTCAGCACCCCAGGGGTGCGTGCGGGGATCGGGGCCAGGCCCTTTGCCCCTCCTTCCCTCCCTCCTCCCAAGGCGCCAATCTGGAACGCCCCTGCTCCCCCCTCCCGCTGTCCCCTATTTATGCAGGAGCTCTGGGGGGTAGTGCAGCACCTATCAGCTGTTTAAAAAGCCTTGTTTGCGGCGCCGATCAGCTGTTTTAAAAGCATTGCTTTGCCATGATCGGTTCCCCAAGCGGGGGAACCGATCATCGCAAAGCGAAATTCCTCCATAGAGAACATCGGAAAGCGATCGCAAAAGCGATCACAAAATCTTCATCGCAAAGCTATTTCATCGTTATTAGAAGCAATCGCTATGCGAGGCACCACTGTATTTCTTTTCTGTATAAAATGAAACATTGTTTAAAGGGCTCTTTTACTAACCCATTTTCTAGAAAACAATGCTAGGCAATGCCCAGCGCATTGAAAATGCGCTGGGCATTTTCAAAGGCCAACTGAAAACCTGGCTATTTCGGCAAGCCTTCCCTCCAGCCACCTATTGATTTATTTTGTTCTTTCATCTTGAGTCCTTATCTATTGATGTATTATTTGTTTTATATTTTAAATGGTTGATTTTATATGTTATCAGCTGCCCAGAATAGTCAGTTGACTAAATGAGCGGGGTACAAACTCAATACATAAATACTAAGCACATCAACCAACACAATGTTAATGAATAAGCAGAAATTTGTATTAAATAAATGCTGAATAGATACATGAGTATAGAAAATAGAATGTTATAAATTAGCATTTTGTGAGTTATACAGCAATCACAAGTCACACTGGCAATGGTATATAAGAGTTTTGAATAGCCTAAGAACCTGATATGCAGGTTTAGCTCTAGGTTTAGCTCTACTGTCACGAAAAACAAGCATACTTACAGGTTGTTCCACATACAGGTTTCTCCTTTCCTTCCAATAAGTCCCACAAATGAATGGACGCCTGTTCGTACTGTTCACTCAACCTTCAACAAAAATATTAATGTAAGCATAACATAACTCAAAAATGTTATGTTTCAAAGTAACTAACTGGACTGCTTTATAAATTTATCAAAATAATAGCGGTAATCTGATCTATCACTATACCTCACATTCATATCCCGTTCAGGTTCAACTAGTTTATAAAAATCATCTAATGTTGACAGTTCTGCCTCCGTTAGTACAGGCACTCCATTTGTTCCTTGTTTTAGGTCATTGCGCACTTCATCATCACCAAGCTTGTCCAAAATAAACTGCAATTCAAGTACAGTTTTTAAACGTTTCTGCTCAGCTTCTTCTCTCATTAGCTGTTCCCGTCGAGCTGTCTTCTTTATTGTTTTCTGAATCTAGTAAAATAAAAAGACATTTATTAACATATAAATGTGACCAGTTCTAAGCGTTCTTTTCAGTTATGAGTGTATTAAATGTTCCAATCACTGTAACAGAGACAGAAGCAAATTTTTAAAGCCATCATCTCAAAGCTATAGCATTTATAATCAGATTTCTTCTTTTCCAGGCACAGCTCATCATAGACTAGGTGTTAAAGCACTCATTCTTCTCTGCTGGCTATTCTACTCCTCTTCTTTCTTCAGTCGTTTTGTGTCATTTTCTTTGGTGTGACAGCATTCTCAACATTCAAGAATCTCCTACTTTTCATCTTTACTGTACTTTCCAAATTTATTTCTGTCATCTTAATCTATGAAGTGCATTTTCTTTTACAATTAAATTGCTTCACAGTGACCTCTACTGTATATATGAACTTGACTCAGCATTATCTTAGAAAACAGGTTTGATAGACCTTCCGTACTGTAGCTACCACCAGACCTGAAAAATCATTCACGAAGATTAGGCCTCTGGATAAACTAGGATAAGGTAGAAGAGAATACTGAATTTTCTACATCAGTGGTCCCCAACCTTTTTGCGACTGCAGACTGGGTGAGCCTCCGAGGAAGGCTCAGCCAGTCCGTAGAAGGCGCACCCCCACAGGTGCGCACTCACTCTTGGGCGGATACACGAACCAGTGGGGGAGTGCCTGCCTGCCCACCAGCGGGAGCGCTCCCCCATCCCTTCGCGCATATGCAGGGGCACCTGCATGCCCGCTCGTGCACATGTGCGAAGCGGTGGGGGAGCACTCGCCCTCCCTCAACCACCCCTTCGCGCATGCGCAAGCCCGCCCACCTGCCCCTTCACATGCACTCAGGCACATGCATGAAGGGACGGGGGAGCACTCATGCCGTCACTGGCATGCGCGCACTTCTGCAAAGCCGCTGTGGGGAAGGGAGTGTGTGCGGGGGGTGGGAGGTCTGTCTTTGCGGCCCAGACCGGCTCAGGCCATGAACTGGCACTGGGCCGCGGACCGGGGTTTGACGACCTCTGTTCTACATGCTCCCCTAAGCCTGATTTTGGGTTATTTCTCCAGTGCTCTATTTAAATCCCCAGACACTTGGGGCACAGATATCTGGAGAAGAGGGGAAAAAAAACATTCTTCCTATATATTTCCTGATCTTAGGATCAAGAGTGTCTTCTCTTCTATCCCTGAAAAACTGCTCCTGAAGGTTTGTGGCACTTTCCAGAACAGTGAATGAAGTTGTATGATGGGAGAATAAGGAAGATACCTTTTTCATTGAGTACTAAATTCATGTAAAAACTCCTAGAGAATAATCCTAATCTGAAAAACACCTTGTATTATTAACATACAAATATTAAGTGGCTGTTCTACAGATGTTCTAGAAGTCTGTTCTGGAGAATTACTTCTATGAAAAGTGACTACATTACTCTCATTACTGTCATATGAAATGTGAAAATAAAAATGGAAGACCAAATCTCTCTAGTTTTCATAGCTATAGCACACAAGTTACATTTTAAATCTTGTGTGAAAACATGGTGAAAGAACTGAAATTACATGTTGTAGGCCAGTGGTTCTTAACGTGGGCGATAATGCCCCCCAGGGGGCGATTTCATTTTTCAGGCGGCGATAGAATTAAAAGGGGCGGTGGGGGGGCTCTTGTCTTCCTGGACCATTCTCTTGACTTCACCATGTTTGTAACCACACCAGTAAATGTCTAGAAGGAGCTGAGTATCACAGTCATTTTAAAGCTGCCTAATTGGTGCTTATTATGCTTGATTGGTGCTCGGTGACATCCGCAGGTGTTTTCAATACCTGATCGAAAACACCTGAATGAACCTCTCTTCTTCAGAGTGGTAGTCTTTAAGGGGTTGAATAATTGTGGCAATGAAGAAACCACAAAAGAAACATTTACTACTGTATTACTTAAACAATTGATGTTATTTTAGTTGCATTTGGTTCTTTAAAACGTCCTTGTAGGATTTCATTCTGAATACAATTCCAAATGTACACTATAGTCCCTAAACCCCTTTACAGCATTGGGGGTTGAATAATTTTGAACACAACTGTAGTTCAAACAAAGAGAACCTAGAAGATTGTGTTTGCATAATATGTAACAAAACAACAGCAACAATCCCAGATAAGTGGCGTTTCCAAAAGTTTAATTTCTGAACTCAAACTCTAAAGCAGTAGGTCAGTGGCTTTGACTCTAGGTCCCCATCCTCCATATTTTAGCAAAACAACATTAATTTTTTTAAGAAACTGTGATCCTCATAGAGCAGGGGTGGGCAATTAATTTCTATAGGGGGCCACATGAAAAATCTAAACTGTGTTCGGTGGCTGAACCAACTTTCGTCGGTATGCAATTTCATGAAACCCATTGGGTGAGGCCCTGCAGTGAACAAACAAACTACTTTTTAGGGAGTTAACTATGTGAGCATTCTAATTCATTCACCGCAGGGGGAGGGAAGAGAGAAAAAAAAACCAACACTGCGCTAACTCACCTGTGTTCTATTTTCTCTACTACTTCTTAAAATGGCAAAATCTGTCAAACTTCACACAGGGCTCTGACATGCCCAATGTAAGGAAAATTGGCGTGTGTTTATTTGCAGGCAGGCATGCACACTCATTCTGTGCTAATTTCAGAAGCATAAGAGTAGGGGGGATACTATGTTCATACACACACTGAGAGGAATCATCTCACATCTAGACAAGGTCCAAAAATTAAAATAATTTGTGCAGGAATGACATTGTTACAGGTGATTCTAACATACTGGAAGATGTACTTGTAGAGTGTTCCAGACTATCCCCAACATTTACAATTTGAAGGATTTGACTACAAACTAAAACCTAAAGCATTTAATCAACTATAAATTATCAGTTTGAGCTACCAGATACTAGAGAAGCAGTTAAAAAGATGTACACTGATCTTGAGTAACAGTTTAAACACAGCTTGGAAAGACAAGGATTCATGTACTACATGTTCTGCAATATTTTCCTTTTCCCTTCTTTCTGTTTTCAGTATTTGCCAAGAAACACAAATCAGCCGATTCCCTCTGCAGATGTATACTGTGAAGTTTGTCTAAATATTTCTTTAAAATATTTCTAACTCTTATCAAAAGAACTACAGATCAGAACCATCTTTACTATCTGACTAAAATGAGATTTCTTCTATGGTTAATCTACATTGAATCATGTGCCTTCTACTTACATCCTGGCTCAAAGCCATAAAACTTCTCTGCAGTTCCTTAGCAAATTCAAGGTTATTACTGACTTCTTGGTACTTGGAAACTGCATCCTACAAGAAAGAAGAAAAATAATTGTATCTCTTTAATAGCGCAAAAGCATTGAAGTCAGAGACTCTTCTCAATTTTAATCCCTAAAAATTGCATCTACTGAATATCTGTTTTTTTATTTTAATGTTCAGTTATTTGACAATTTTACTTTCTGACATTTAGAATCATCTGTGTTTTTCATACAAAACTCTCAAATCCCACAAAAACAGGAGATTGTGTTAATGGATAACAATTAAAATCCATTAATACAAGCATTCTTTTCACTTAACATGAGGACACCCTATTTCACTACAGGATCAGGTCACAACCAGATTTAACAGCAATGCAACGTTCAGAGACTGAACAAACTTTTCCAGTCTTTATGTACTATGTGACAACAGTCAAGATGGACCTTAAGATTCTTGCCTACTGGTCACATTAATACATATTGGAAAGTTCTCCTCCCAGTAATTTGCAGAAAATAATGGCTCCTCTTTTTTTGTGAACACGGGGGGGGGGGGGGGGACAGGACTGTATATGCCTATAATGAAACTCAACTGAAACTAATGAAGAAACAAGGTTAACAAGCTTTCCAAAATTCATAATACTGCACCAACTAGACAGAATGAGAAAACAAGGCCTAAAATAAATAATTTCTTAATAGATGAAGGTATAATAATGTATGCCAGAAAAAGTACGTACCAACTGATCTTGGTTAAGGCGTTCCCCTTTATTCATTCGATCCTGATAATCATCAAGTTTGCTCTGGGAAAAACAAAATCTTTCACAATAAATATATAAAAAATATTTTAACAGGACAGACTATGAATATATTTTGTATATAAAGCCAGTTTCACTGTTTAAATGGAGACATCAGCCCAAATTATACATGGATAAAATAGCACAGGACTTATACTGGGCAAAATCCTGTAACTTGATACTATGCCTGTAGCTACCATAGTACCAAGGTGGAAAATCTATGGAACACTTCTGCCAGGGTACAATACAATACTTTGTTGCCAGCTGTAACACGTCAACTATTTGCATAAGGGAAAGTTACATCTGCATTAGCAGGATTTTGTTCATAGTTCTCTTCAGAAAAACAACAACTATAACCTGTGTTTTAATATGCAATGTGTTGCTACAGTAAAAGAATAGCAGTAGCCCAAAGCTGTTACATAAAGCTCAACAGCTTTATGTAGCATCTTTGGGCTATCCTAACTGCAGCAAGTTTTTTCACACGTATTGGTATCATATGGAGTGCTGCCAACAAGTACACTTTGGCTGCCCTCATACAGAAACACTAATATTTAAATTCATCCTGTTTTAAACATTAAAAAGGGTTAGAAGTCTATTGCTTAGTTCTCTTTCATTTAGAATACAATAATCAATTCCTATTGTTTAGAAATTACTTTTCATTTTTAGTTATTTTATTTCTAACAACTTTTACCTCTGCTCTGGAAATCTCAAAATACAATACTACAATTATGCTCTACTAGAGCCAAGTGATTCTACTCACATCTAGAAAACAATAGGCTAGATCCAAAACTGCCTGTCTACAAACAGAAAGTCTTCTCCATTTACCAACTGCTATTTTCCAACTAAGCAGAAAACTACTGTGCAAAGTGATCCCAAATCCAGAGGAGCATGGTAAATAAATGAAAAACCAGCAGTAGAGAAGACAATTCTTTTTCCAAAGAATAAGTTTTCTTGAGGAAAAATAGAAACAGGGCACATAGAAAAAGTTCATAGAACACATTCATTCAGCTCACCTTCTTTCTACAGGCAAACTACAATGTTTCCATTATTTATTGTTTCTTACACTGTAACAGAATCTGATACACTGCAGCTTTGCACTGTGATTAGTACAGTGGTGCCTCGCTTAACGGGCGCCCCATTTAACGATGAAATCGCATACCAACGAACTTTTTGCGATCACTTTGCGATATTTTAAATGGTGAAAAATCACTTTGCGATGATCGGTACCCTGTTTCGCTTACCGATCATCACAAAGCGATGATTTTTTAACAGCTGTTCCAAAACGGCCGCAGGGTAAAAAAAATATGGCCGCCCACTGTTTTCTGGGATGGATTCCTCGTTTACCGGGCAGCGAAAATGGCCGCCATATGGAGGATTTTCGCTTAAAGTTGAGTCTGAAGCCCATAGGAACGCATTGAAGGGGTTTCAATGCATTCCTATGGGCTTTTTAATATCGCATAGCGACGAAATCGCTTTGCAGCGATTTTTGCTGCACCGATTATCGACACTATGCAAGGCACCACTGTATTTCCTTATCGCCTGCACGAATTCACTGAATAGCACTACTCATCTTTTTACCCCCTCACTATACTTTGGATCAAGCCCTTACTTCCTAACCAGAAAAAATAGTATTATACAACATGTATTTACATTATTCACAGATCAAATTTGTGTATCTAGCCTAAACTGCACAGAACTCCAAAGTTTTTCTATATTTCTAATGTAGTATCTTCCACCTCAATTGTTAAGTTATTTCTCCACAAAGTCAATATTTCTATTTTATGAACTGCAATTAATATTATAAAGATGCTAAGAATTCCATCCAGAACCATCTGTATACAAAATAGCATTGCACTGACACTTATTTAAGATGTCTATACGATTCTTAAGCACCAAGGGCATTGAAGAAAATTTGCTACTTAAGCAAAAATAGAAACTGACAAATAAAATGGATTCTTACTTACTTAAGCTGGGGGGGCAATGTGTAGCCTGTATAATGAAATTGTAAACCGCCCGGAGAGTGCTTGTAGCGCTATGGGGCGGTATATAAGTCCAAAAATAAATAAATAAAATAAAATAAAAATAGAAACTGACAAATAAAATGGATTCTTACAACCAAAACAGATAAATCAGCCAACACAGTACCAAACTATTAAAATATTAGAACATTATGAGCCAACAACTTAAGAGTAAATGCCAAAATAAAAAATTAAGGGCTGAATGCCTGTAACTAAAGAAACTTCGGTCTTGTCCAGTGACTACATTTTACTTACAAAGTTAGCCAACTGTCTCTTGAAAAAGCATTCCACACTTACAGTCCTATTCTTTAGAATTTCTTTGGTAGCCATACTTTACACCTTTGTGGATGAAAATACCATGAGAAGATCCTTAAAAGATATCTTTGTACAAAAATTCATGGAAATTGGTATTTACGTTTAGGTATTTAGAAATTGGTACCAACACTTTCACTGAGGCCTGGAAACTGACTGATGCAGTAAACTGACTGATGCAATGGACACAGTACTGGGGTGACATATTCAAAATGACCAGACTCAGAAGAGCCTCACTGCTGCATTCTATGCTACCTGAAGCTTCTATGTTATCCTCCGACAGCCCCACACAGAATACACTCCAACAATCTAGACAAGAAGTTCACTATTTATACGTACAGTACTGCACCTAAGCTTTCTCTATGTTGACTGCTAGCTGGTGTATTAACTGAAGCTACTAAGAAGCACCTTGTTCTACTGAAGACACTAGCACTTCAATTGAGAACTGGTTCTGTTGTCTACTACAAGAGAGTGCAATCCCATTTACAGCAGGCTATCACTAAACACTCGGATGGAAACACCTACTAACAGCATTTCATCTGCATGGAGTATCAGTTTAATGGCTATATCACATTAATGAAACTATTCAAATCCAATCAATGAATCAGGACAATCACTGCTTCAATTACTACTGATTAAAAGAACTGTACTTGACCATCCATATACTGATGACAGCTCATTCCATCTTTCCAACTAAGTACTTCCAGCACATTAGGGAACTGAGAGGGGGCACCAAAGTGGAGTTAAAGGTTGTATAGAAACAGTCTCCCAGCACCAACTTCTGAAGTCACCTATTCATCTGGGTGTGAAGCACTATTTTTTTTTAAAGCCTCCAACTCCAAATTAAGATAACCTAACCAGATCACTGCAGATGGTGACAACAGCCATGAAATTAAAAGACGGCTGCTTCTTGGGAGGAAAGTGATGACAAAGCTCAATAGCATCTTAAAAAGCAGAGACATCACCTTGCCGACAAAGGTCCGCATAGTCAAAGCTATGGTTTTTCCTGTAGTGATGTATAGAAGTGAAAACTGGACCATAAAGAAAACTGACCGCCGAAGAATTGATGCTTTTGAACTGTGGTACTGGAGAAGCCTCTTGAGAGTCCCCTGCACTGCAAGGAGAACAAACCTATCCATTCTAAAGGAAATCAACCCCGAGTGCTCACTGGAAGGACAGATCCTGAAGCTGAGGCTTCAGTATTTTGGCCATCTCATGAGAAGAAAAGACTCCTTGGAAAATACCTTGATGTTAGGAAAGTATGAAGGCAAGAGGAGAAGGAGACAACAGAGGATGAGATGGTTGGACAGTGTCATTGAAGCAACCAACATGAATTTGACCCAACTCAGGGAGGCAGAAGAAGATAGGAGGGCCTGGCATGCTCTGGTCCATGTGGGCACGGCCAGAGAAGCCCCTGCGCGCTCGGCAGGAGGGGAAAGGACCCTTCCTTTCCCCTCCTGGCTGATCGCTGGCACAGATGCCCCTGCGCGGTCGGCAGGAGGGGAAAGGACCCTTCCTTTGCAACCAACATGAATTTGACCCAACTCAGGGAGGCAGAAGAAGATAGGAGGGCCTGGCATGCTCTGGTCCATGTGGGCACGGCCAGAGAAGCCCCTGCGCGCTCGGCAGGAGGGGAAAGGACCCTTCCTTTCCCCTCCTGGCTGATCGCTGGCACAGATGCCCCTGCGCGGTCGGCAGGAGGGGAAAGGACCCTTCCTTTCCCCTCCTGGCTGATCGCCGGCCAGAGAAGCCCCTGCGCGCTCGGCAGGAGGGGAA